TTACTCCTTTGCTATGGAGTTCTTTTTATATTAGCGTCAAAGGATGAAAAATCTTTCAGTTTATCCTTAATTACTTCATAGTAGTCCTACTGGTGCATCAGATGCCAAAACTCGCAAAGTAGGTAGTCTTCCAACCTACGATATCAATTTCAAGTGTGATGAAAGAGCTGAGAAAAGGAAAGAGGTTAGCTCTATGCTTGTGTTGCTGGCGCTTATAATACATGCTTGCTTGCCTTCCACCGTGAAGTCAACTAAAGAAAAATTAATTTGTGGCATTTGGACAGTTTTACTCCAAGCTTGAAGAAAAAATACATGCAAAGGAAGTTGAGAAGAGTAATCTGCAAGCCAAGACTAAGGTGTTGTGACTTTTTCTGCTTTGGAATCTAGTAGGCGTAGAACATTTCTTGTTATAGAGGGTTATCTTGTAGCGTTCCCATTTATTTTCTTTCATTTCTCTAACAGGAAACTCAGGAAGCTGAGATCAAAATGCTAAGGAAGAGCTTAAAATTTAAAGCAACTCCTATGCCAAGCTTTTATCAGGAACCTGCTCCTCCAAAGGTGGAGTTGAAGAAGGTAATTTTGTGCTATATGTCACTATGCCGAGAAATATATATTCTATAGTATGAAACACCTTTTGCTGTTCTTAAACATAGTATGTTGAATATTTAGTGGTTCTTTAGCTCAAAATGACTTTGTTACCGTTCCTTTTAAGCTCCATGTAGTTGATATTTTAGCTTCGTGTAATAATATCTCATTATTTTCATTTTGCTTTATCCTGAAAATGTGTTATGATACGTTAAAAATTAAGTAATATATTTCGTATCAGGTAATGTGGAGCACAACTTAACTTTTGTTCTTGTGAAGCTCTAGAAAGTAGTAAAAGAGTTAGGTTCAAGTTAATCCTTTAGCTGATCTTTTGAACACTTTCAACTTAGACATTTAAACTGCATGCTCTGTCAGAATGCGACGAACTACATAGAAAGAAATTGCACTACTACTGAGATCTGTAAAGAAACCCTTAGCTATCAAATGTTTTAGCTGATATAGCTTGGTTGGGCCGGGAGTTCAGTGTCTTGACTTTTAGACCACTAATGGCGCATTGCCCTTGATACATTTATATATATTTTTTCAACACTACGGAGCTCCTAAAAGAAAGCCTTAGCTATCAACGGATAAGCTGGATATAGCTTGGTGGAGTTGAGAGTTCAGTTACTTGACTTTTAGACCACAAATGGCACATTTCTCTTGATACATTTATGTGATGATTGACTTTATTGGGATAGAGCCAGTGGGACTTCATCACCATTTCTAATGATATCATAAGTGCTTAGTATGATCAAGAAAAAAGAAGTGGTTATTGATGCATGATATTTAGTGAACTGTGAAGAGCACACCCATGGTTGTTGGCATTGCGTCTGATTCAGTAAATCTTAGACTAGATAAATTTTCTTTTTGCGGCCAATTACTTAATTTAAACACTCGCCTTTTGTGCTATAAACTCTACTACGCACATCCTTAATCACCATAACAACTGTAAGTTGGAGTGCCTCCATCTATTTAACTTAAGGTTAGGAAATTTCAAAGAAGAGTCAAGTAGGCAAGCCTATGGTGAAAGCTAGCTTTCTTAAGTTGGTGGCATAAGAAGATTTAGGAGCTCCCTACACTATTCAGTTGGCAAAGAAATGGAGTTGGGCAACTAGATAGTACCACAGAAATGCTTCTATTGGGTGTCAAAGATTTTCTCTTTCTGCAATGTTAAGCAAAAGTTTTGTGGCATTTCTGCAATGTTAGCTGACCTAACTTGTTTGAAATTGAGTAGTTGTTGTCATTGTTCTGTTGTGATGTTAAGCAAAATTTATCTGTACTGAAGGGAAACTCAGGTATATGCATCTGACCCTATTAATTGTGTGCATGTAAATTTGTTATCTATACATATATAAATATACCAAGTTCTGTTCATGCACTTGCTTAGGGTTATGTATCCAGTTGTGTTGTCAGTGCAGTTTTTTGCCAATACTAAGTGTATTTTGATAAACTGTACGAATACCCTTACAAATGTCAGTACTCGAGATAAATGAAGGATTTATGTAACACAGAACAAGGATAATTACATGAAATATTATTCCGGTTAGAATTTGCTGTAATGACATTTATCTGTTTCTTAGTCACTATGCTTTTTAGAAGCTCTATTAGTCTGGATATTCATAAAAGATCAGAAAATCCAACTCATCTTTTTTATAAGGATTCAACTCCAGGGATCTTACTCTGAAGATACTAAAAGATCATTGTTACCTCTGAAAGAAAAGAAAGAAGTTATTCGGTGTAGCTATCAGATTACCCAAGTTGACAAAACTAAAATAAGTGATATCCCAAGCAGGATTTTGGTTTGCACATCACGGAGATGTAGTGTGGCTGTGTGGGTATTCACAAGATTGATTTGGACAACAGAGTGAATGCTAGAACCTCTTTGTTGTGATAATCTCAAGTACCATCAAGTATTCTAGGCTTATCTAGCTTAACCCGAGTTTGCTGCCTTACTTTTGCTAGTCATGCTAGGATGCTGGTTGTTCATGGCTTAATATAATGCAGACTCCAGTCATTCTTATTTATTTTTTTCCTTGAAATATTAACTCTAAAGACATGTCGTGCTTTCAGCTAAAGAAATTTCCTAATATTTGCTTTATTCTTTTCTAACTAGTTTCGTATGTGTACACCTGATGTTTCTCCTGAAGTAATTTATTCCTCCTGTTTATTTTGAAATCTACAAGTTATGTGGTGTTTCTCTAACACCTTCTTATGTTGTTAGATTCCACCAACAAGAGCTAAATCCCCCAAACTTGGGAGGAGAAAGAGCTCTCCCACCAAAGAAGGAAACAACGAGAGTGTCATGCGCCCAAGTAGGTTAAGCTTGGACGAAAATGCATCTCAAAATGATCCCGTCAAAGGGCATTCTCCTCTCAATTTTAAGAAGCCTCAAAGGAAGTCACTTCCAAAGCTGCCATCTGAGAAAACCAACTTATCCAATGAAACAAGAAAGCCTTCTATTCGCAAATCTAGCTTATCCAAGAAATCAACTGAAGCTAAATCTCTGCAGAATGCTTTACCCAAAGAGATGGGTGAAGTTGCTTCTCAACCAAACAACCAACTCGAGCAAATTACTGAACGTGAAGCAGATGTTCAAGAGTGTGAGGTTGTATCAACTGTTGAATCAAGCCAGCCAGAGACTGTAGTTGAAGCTCAAATAGAGCCTAATCAGATGGAGGAACACGTTTCAGTCGAGCACTAAAAGCAACAAGTTGAATATATATATTGATGGAGCAATCTTCATTCCCTCTTTGCTTAAAGTATTGCAAAAGGTATGAATAAGATTTGGTTTACTTGAGAAATGAATGCACTGGATTATTGTACTATGCAGCATCGCCATTTTGTCTATAGTCAGCAGCAAGGTCGAGCTTCTAGTGTTCTGTCTTCTTTCAAGATTGTGGTCATTAGAATTGCAGGTTGCTTGCAGCATTATAAGGTTACAGTTTGAGCAATTCCTTTAAGCTAATTATCATCAGATAAGCTTCTGTTACCTAATGTTGAGTAGCCAGAAATCCTTAAGAATTTTGTCTGTTCTAGTAGTCGATTATCCAAGTACTTCTCAGTTGTATAAACCTTGGCACAGTTTGGTCATGTACTGACTGTTGAAACTGCTCTCTTGAACCAAATGATTGTTGTTGTTTATCGAGGCGTATTTATAAATTACATATACCTTACATGATATTTTAGCTCTGTTTAGGTATTATGAAATTTTACTACATCTACCTTTTTTTCTCCCTTGCTCAGTGTTGTCAATAACATGCTTAAAGCGCGCTTAGGCCCTAAAGCGAGTCTTAAAACATTTTGAGCGCTTCAAATCACTTAGTGGACGCTTTAGCCTTGTCATCAAGGTTCTAAGGCATACTTTTCTTTGCCAATGAACGTAATCCTGAAGAGGCGAACTTAAATAATTGATATTTCACTTTATTGTAAAACAAAATATTCAATTTCTTTATTCATATATTTGTTATTTGTGCTTATAATTATTAGTCTTGGCTACACATATATATTTGTATTTTTTTCTCCATTTGCGTCTTTCTTCATTAAAGTCCATGCTTTATTTCTGCTTTGCGCTTAAAAGTCCCAATGTATTTTAGAGTTTTTTTTGCGCTTTTTGCTTTTGATAACAATGCCCTTGCTAAATTTGGTGGACAGAGTTTGTTTTGGTGGGAGGCAGCATATATTTAGTAAAATCGTCGAGATATGCTTAAGCTGGAACAGACACTGTTTTAATTAAAAGGAAAAATAGTATTCCTTACCGCAGGAACCACAATTGTGGATCTCTTCCCCCTAGAGAATTGGTAAGCTGTCCCTTTTAATCTGTATGGCGGATGTTATCCATAGCATATAGTTGAATGGGATTGGTTGACATAGATAAAAATGATTGGACTTTATTGAATAGCTACAGCCTACAACAAGTTGCTTATTGTTGGAGCTATTACTAAATGGCTGGAAGAGTCAAAATCTAAATTGGAGCTGTATGCCTGTCCACATTCAGGAGTTCAGTATAATCATCTCTATTATTTTGATGCAATCCTGTCAAAGAAAGGGATAAATACTATTCTAAAATTGCTTAGGTTTTCAATAATTGAGCACAATTTATGAAACTTATGTTTAATAAAAGATGTTCGCATAACCTAAGCAAGTACCCACTTGATGAGTACTAAATAGAGAAGAAGAAAAAAAGGAAAAAGAAAATTGTCAAAATCACCTTCCCTCTCTTTTTCTTTTCCCTTGTCATCTGTCTAATTGTATGTTTTCAATTTTACTCCATAAAGGCAGCATCCATTCGGCCATGAAATAACAAGTCTCAACTCGCCTAACCATAGGCTACCACGTTAATATTCTGTAGATTCTACCTATAAACAGTTCATGGTTAGAAATGCAAGGTGATAGTAGGAATATACATAATATTAATATAGGTGAGAAAATGATTTTTTTATTCAAGATTGAACTCATCAAATTTAAATCATAAACCCTCCCAACAGCCATATTACTACATTACACGCGGACTTTTATTGGTTTGTAAAAATAAACAAAAAAAACTAATATTCAAAAAGAGGTTAAATTGATCAAGTAATCAACTCAAGGATGGAAAAGCTTATTTCCACATTTGCATTTCCATGCAAGTAAATAATAGCCGTAGTCTTGTTTGGCTTGATGAATGGGAGCTATTAGGGTAGGGGTGCAAGGTGTGCAATTCAAGCATTTTCCCTCGCACTTTGGTTGCTTTGATCCTACCTTCACTGCATCTGTCACGTTGAATACAGGTGAAAAATAGAAAGAAACTTTAGAAAATTAAACCATATGTCTACATGGAAAAATAGTTTTCATCCTTGATTTTTATTTAAGAGACGTTAAAAGGAAGGTAGCCCGGTGCATAAGGCATCCTGCGTTCACGCAAGGTCCGGAAAGGGCTGCACCACAAGGGATGTGATGTAGACAGCCTAACCTGACGCAAACATTAGTGGCTGCTTCCACGGCTCGAACGCGTGATATATAAAAGAGGGGTAAGTTAATAGAAGGTGTCATTTTGCTACACTAATACTACGTACTGACCTGTAATAGGTAGAAGAAAAAGAAGGGCAAAGATGATCAAGAATCCACCAACAATAAATACAAGGCTCAGCTCATGATCATAACTTGCACGCTTGCTGAATGAAGACATGATCATCTGTATTTTGCAGACTATTGAATCTTTAAATAAAGAAGAAGAAGAAGAAGAAACTGCCTCACCTTTTATTAGCAGCCTCATGCATATAAGGCTATCATTTTAATACATTGGGATAGTAGTACATGGCTGGTCTCGATCTGATGACATTTGTCTGTTAAATATAAAGCTCATTTCTGTGTCGCATATAATATATGCTAGTACTACTGGTTGTTCAGAAATTAAATTCTGTCCCTCTGTCGCACTGTGGGTATTTACGATTTAACCCTTATGGGTTTAACTTTTAAAGTTTTTAGCATTGAGTCCCTTAGAAGTTATGGGTTCATATTTACTGTTTTTTTAATTTTAATGAATTTTTACACATAAATTTTTACTCCGCGTCAAAAGTTATGAGTTCAGTTGAACCCGGTAATACTACACTACATCGACCACTGGTGGGTACGTCTTTAAATTATATACCGTGTAAAAATTCTTTGTAATATCATATTATTTTAAATAAAATTACTCATGAAAAGTGACATTAATTTGAAAAATAAGACATAACCATCCACAATAGACTAAATTGTACCGACAGTATAAAAATTTCAGACACTGACAGTGAACAATATTTAGTACGCTGACAGTGGATATAAATTAAATACGGTGATAATCCACAGTAACTAATCTTTTGTACGATTGACATGTAACCAAATTTAGTAGCTACTATTTTGTACGATGAAAACCAAGTTGATTTAGAGCGAAATGACAAAATTGTCCATGATTTAATGGTATTGAAGAAAAAAAACGTATATCGCTCGGGGCAGCTCAAACAAACTTTAATGTGAGGCCTAAATTTTTAAAAAAAAGTTATCATATGGAGTATAATTTATTTAAGGTCTATTTTTCTAGATTTTGAGATGCAAATGTTAATAATTTTAATAATCGGTTTCTTCTAATAATTCTTTCACTTGATAATATTGGGAAATGCCTATAAAAATATTTATTTATTTTTAAAAATGGGGCCGCAAAATTCGGGGCCTAAGGTTAGAGCCGGCCGAATAATAGCGGGCAAATACAAAATGGGGAGAGAGCTAAGCTACTAGATAAGTAGATATACAATTATACATTATGTGCACACTGCCAGAAATTATACATCAGATTACCTTTTTTAATTATTCCATTTACTTTATTATAACAAAAAGACATGAATACATAGGTTGCGTCATGGAAAAGAGAGGCCTGCAAAACTAGAGCTTGGTAAAAATGACACAGCCAAAGTCCACGAACGCAAGACATAAAGCCACACAAGTGCTAGAAGCAACGTTAAAATGATTCTAAGAGCCGGACATAACCAAACCATCACAAACAGAGATATTGAACATCGTGGAGACTCGGTACAACTAAAAGTAAACATGATATTGTGAAAGAAAGCTTCTCTTGTAGCACAATTTGCTAATCGATTTGCTGTGCAGCACTGGCTAAAATTGCAATCCCTGAATTGGTGATTACACACTCCAGCAATCAACAAGGGTTTGAAATTACTACCAAGGTTGCATAAGTAACATGTACGCAACAAGAGAGCAGATTCAGAATTTGAACTTTATGGGTTCAGATTCGCAATTCTACCATATCTCATCTAATTTAATATGTTCAAAATTTATTATTTATAAATATTTAATGATTTTTAGGCAAAAATACAGGGTATGAGCGAAAAGTGAACCCATAGCCTTTCCACTTGATACGCCCCTGTGACCGCAACCATCTATGATCAAAGATTCCAGAGTTTCCCCATGCGGCTCAGCTATGGCCGGAACTGATTTGTCCGTAACATTGACACGGCCGCTTAAATTCACCTCTACCAAACAGCTCAGAACAAGAGGGAGGGAACCCACTCAGCTCCAGATGAGTTAGTTTGGGATACAGTCTACCTACTAGGGAAATGATAGCATTCCCTACTCCAGGGCAGTTTCTAATAGCCAAAGATTGCAGTGAGTTTCAAGAAACCGCCAATGGACATCTATTGGTTGCGTCTTTCACGCCAAAGCAGTTCACCAGGAAAGAGCCTTCAGCTTTTTACCACAGTTCAAAAGTATACCAAAAAACCCAGCCTGGGTAAACCCGAGGCATTCCTCTAACTGAAGGTTCTCAAGTGAGACTGAAGCTTTGGCAAAAACAACCAATCCATTATTCCATTATCTGAAAGGACAGGAATAGAAATGTCGCTGATGTTTAGTACGTGGAGCTATACCTTCGTTAAAACATTGATGTTTGAATCTGTCAGCCAACGGTAGTAGATCGTCCTAAATGCACCTTTTTAAGGTGAAAAAGAAAGCTTAAGTTACTCTGAATTATGGAATCACCTGGACATTCTGTGCTGTCTCAATTTCCCCATATATACATTTCTCAACTTGCATCCTTATTTTCATCAGTTTGGATCATGAACTTGCATGTTTCTATATTAAAGAAGCATATGTTTAATCTTTAATCTTCTCCTAACTGCAAGAAAATGGAAAGCATTTCCAAAATAAGAAAGAAGAAAAAGATATTACATCAGAACTGAGGATGTACTCACAGGCCTCACTAGATGAAACAATAAAGAAATAATGAGGTACAAGCATCTATAAAAACACTTTATATTTATGAATAGAGATTCAATTCTCTACCCTTCAATGTATCTAAATCAGCCAACGCTCATTGTGCTTGACCTTTACCCTGACTAATATCTATAAATTAGCCGAAAAGGGACTTTTTTTTAGATGATAACATGTCGAAATGGGGGCACATTTGGTAACAAAAGTTGCGTTTTTCTTCTCAACACAGATGCTGTAATTACACATGGCTGTTTGAATTTGTTTTTGGATTCTGGCTTCTTCAAAACTTGCAAAACACAAATCCAGCCGGTTGAGAATGATGAATATGCAGCTGTTTAATCATAAAGCCCCTCTTGTTCCCAGACATCGACAAGAAAGTCTACCATTTCCTGATAATTAAAATGCAGAACAGTCAGCAACTAGCTATGAGGAATACGGAAACAAAAACTATTAAGCTAATTTGATTACTAACCGACAGAGGAATTGGTTGAGGGAAACGCTTATTGGTCCCTAGTAAAGTTTCGTAACTTGTATCAAAACTGCAATTTTATGATGGTAGAATAGACTTGTTAAAAATGTATATGTACTGTTAACTAATACAGTATAATGTGCAATAGTTGAAATTAGTAGCAGGATACCACTAATTCAAAACCAAATTGTTTCAGGATGAATAAGAGAACCCCTTGAAAATAGTTACCAGCAGAAACTACTAAACCTAAAGACTTGAAGTTTCAAATAATGGCCTGTAGGGGCCTAATTCATTTTCTTTCTTTCCTTTGTTATTTTTTCCTTTTAGTCAAAGGGTCTTCATGCTTAGACTTCCAAATTTGTGAAAACACATACCCTAATTTGGGTTCTCGAACTGAAGCACGCTTCTGTGATGTTTTACTTCCACACCACTGTTGCCTTGTTTGATTCCAAAGAAGTAGACCTGCTCCAGGCAATGTTTAATTCAGTGATACATAATGAAAATACAGAGAGTATCAGAGTATTAAACTTATTAAGCTGAGCAAAGATTAACGGAACAGCACAAGAACATGCTTTAGAAGCTTAGTTATGCTCTCTCCAGTCTATGCCTCAAATAATGGAATTTCTGCAAAGCCCACAAGTCCTTTTTTTTGGCCCATAAGTAAATTAGTCATTTCTAGAAAAATGAAAGCTAACTAAGATCCCCTCCCCCCTTTTAAAATTTTTAAAAAAAAAAACACACACACATTGAGCTAATTTCACGTGCATCAAGTGTTTATGACATTTTGGGTCAACCAATAGAAAAAAGGTGAAGAAATATGAACATTTGCAAGAAAACCCCAATACGAAGCCATTTTTTGGCCCATTCATTGAGGCAGCTTGAAGGAGCTTTGGAGCAACGATAAAATTGTCTCCGTGTGACCTATAGGTCACAATTCGAGCCGTGGAAGCAATCAATAATGCTTGCATTAGGGTAGGCTGTCCACATCACATCCCTAGGGGTGCGGCCCTTCCCCGGACCCTGTGTGAGTGCGAGATGCTTTGTGCATCGGGCTGCCCTTTCCATTGAGGCAGTTTGGCATGACAAAAAGAAATTGAAGCAGTTGGGGTCGCTAGGTGGGTCAAAGTTCAGGAGTTCCCCTTATTAGCAAGTCAAGTCAAGAAATGTACTATCAGATATTTTTTAACTTTTTCGGTAGCAATCCCATGAAAGTACCCTGCCAAGGGTTATCTACTCTTCCAAATTGTCGTCATGATTTTTGCCTCTGTATTTGCGTATAATAATGAGACGTCACTGATTCCCATGCAGGATTAGTCGCTACTGGTAAACAATTAGGGGAATTCGTATCAAAACAAAAGGAGATAAAAAGATGCACTTGCCATGATTTACAAATTCTGAAGTGTTGTTCGTGGTGCCAGAGTTACTGTGAGGATCAAGGGGTGGATTTGAAGTGCTAATTGATGTGATACTTCTCTGCGAAGGAAATGTGCTATTCTCCATCTCGCCCGCACTACTGCTCCAAAAGTCGTCTCTTAAATTAGCTTTCCTCAACCGTTGGCTTGGAACTTTCAGTCTCTTGGATGGCCTATCCGCTGAAACAACATGGGGAGATTTCATACAGCATCCAAGACAACTTCTGCTCTGTTGCAACCAGGTTTATAACCATTGAAATTGATTAGTGGAGCAAAAAACTTTGATAGCATAGCTCCAACTAAATTCAACATTCTAAGTTTGGAACCCATTTCAGAACTACCAAGTGCTCAGGGAAACATAAACTGTGTCAAAGCATGGCCCATGGCCCATGCATTGTTCTGCAACCTTTTAGAAAGGACACCTGATGTGCCGTGGCGACTACAGAAAGCAACTGACAATAGTTGATTCAGCTATAAATCCATGGACAACCTAGTAAGGCCCTAATAGGGCCATGTTACAGATGTAAGCTGCAGATGGGCATGAACAAACCATCGGCTATCATTAATCAAGTCACCAAAGAGTAGTGGCATACACAAATCAAAATACGGGAATCTATGGTCCCACAAACAGTCACAAACATTGAAACTTCAAAATCCAGGTATCAAGAACAACAAAGGATCTAAGAAAACTGATAACTAAATGCATTTACAAGCTACAAAGTTAATAGGAGTAGTTAATAAATTCTAGGTATTGATCTCAAAAGTGATTACTTATAGTTTCAGCACAAATTACTATCCTGCACCAAATATAAGACATCGGACAAAAGTAAACTCTTACATTACAAGAGCTCTGCATTATTTCTTCAACTTTTCCATCACCAAACCAATAAGGACTCGAAAATATTCTCCAAAATACCAAAACTATGAATCCATGAATAACACCTATTATACATGGCTAGATGAAAGCTTTTCACGCTGTAGCTCAACAAGACAATTTTTTTAATAAGTAGCTAAAAAAAATATTACATGCAGAATGCGTCCTTCAAGCAAGAAACACCTTATCATAACAGGCAAAGCATGAAAATAAAGGAACCAGCTCATTTCTGTTTTATGCACTTGCTTAGCCTCTAAGCAAGTAAAAGATTCCAAATCACCAAATAAAAGCCAAGAGCTGCAATTTACATAAGTTTGCTTAGCCCTGTCTCATTTTCTTTAATTTCAAGAATAACAAAACTTTCCCTTTTTCTTCCCAGAGTAAACAGATCATCCGCGCCTAAAGGCAAATCTAGGATTTTAATTCAATGAGAACATACTATATTCATTACTACCTTATGACTGTAGTTACAATCTTAGCAAAATATTCACATAAACTTTCACACACACCTCATATATATGGTTCAAGCTGAAGGCAATAGTATGGCCACATGTGCCATACTACTACATCCCTATCCGCAGAAGCAAATACAAAATAACAACTACTATTACTCCTCAATCCCAAACTCAAGTTGGGGTCGCACTTTGCTCCAATTAAGTTTATCTCAGGCCAATATTATACAGCAATAAAGATAGAAATAGAAAAAGAAGACAGAAAACATCCCCGAGTGGCGGAGTGTTCAATAAATTATAGTTCAGAAAGACACATAGGGAAAGAATCGAGTTACTCACCCCATGCAAGCCAAGATACGGGATATCCAAGATGCAACTGATCTACAAAGTTGCATTTACAAGCAATAATCCGGCAAAATAAACAAATAGGTTTTTCTCAAAGCTTATATCAACCTTTGGACCTCCAATAAGGAAAGAAAACACATCCCCTACCTGCAGTAGAAGCTCAAAATAAGCGCAAAAATCAAAACTTTCCCTAATCAAATCAGTTAAGGCCGACTATATGAATCCCTTGTATTCATTCTGCTCTATTCAGATATTGGATAAATCCTCTGTATCCTACACAACATATAAGTCTCTCAAACTGCCGACAATGCAGAAAACTAAAAAGCAACAAAAAGTTGTCTTTTTTTTCTTCTTCTTTTTATTACTATTAAGTCATGTTAATTTCTTTTGAAATAAAGAAGGAAGGGAATTTTTGGAATTCAAACCTGTGGAAAATTGCCAAACAGGTTATGGGATGTGATTTTCTTGCCCGTTCTGCAAGTCTTGATCTTTGGGTCAATAAATAAACGCTGAAAAACGAAAGAAAAGTGAAATTCTCGATGGGTTTTTTCTCCTCCCTCTATTTCTCTGTCCCTTGTGTCCTTGATTTGTAGATATATTAATTGTCAGTCAAAAATTGGAGACACGGAAACAGTGAAGAAAAGGAACAGTCGTGCTGAGCTGCTGGTGTGGCCAATGGTGCCGGGTAAAGGTATGGGTTGTGGGCCTGGTGGTCTTTTTCTAATAAATTAGAATATAATTTTCTAGCTTTGTGAGAACACAAAGCGCCTGTAGCTCAGTGGATAGAGCGTCTGTTTCCTAAGCAGAAAGTCGTAGGTTCGACCCCTATCTGGCGCATCCGTTGGTTTTATATCCTTTTTCTCCAATTGCTTTTCGGTTAACCAACTAATTGGACCAAGTGTTACATACAACCCCTAAGACTCCCTTTTACGCCTAGGTATCACATACACCTAGGCACTGACTTTAAAACTCGTCACTAAGGCCTAAGACTTATTTACTTATATATCCAGCATCTCTCTCATTTTTTTCTCGATGTAGAATTAGCCTAAGAATATCACATGCATCCCCCTTACGATTAGAGTGTCACAAAATCATAGCCGAAAAATTAGGGTGTCACAAAATCATAGCCGAAAAATGTCTTATCTTTCTCAAATTGTTTAAGCAAAGACAATGTTGGATACGAATATAGTTTATCAAATTGTTATTCAGGCTAGTCTCAAACATTCAGGCTACTCATCTTTCTCAAATTGTTTAAGCAAAGACAATGTTGGATACGAATATAGTTTATCAGATTGTTATTCAGGATAGTTTATTTGAGGTTGTGTTACATACAACCCCTAAGGTGTCAAATACACCTCCCTTTTACGCCTAGGTATCACATACACCTAGGCACGCATGACTTTAAAACTCGTCACTAAGGCCGAAGACTTATTTACTTATATATCCAGCATCTCTCCCATATTTTCTCGATGTAGAATTCGCCTAGGATATCACATACATCTCCCTTACGATTAGGGTGTCACAAAATCATAGCCAAAAAATGCCTCATCTTTCTCAAATTGTTTAAGCAAAGACAATGTTGGATACGAATATAGTTTATCAGATTGTTATTCAGGCTAGTCTCAAACATTCAGGCTACTCATCTTTCTCAAATTGTTTAAGCAAAGACAATGTTGGATACGAATATAGTTTATCAGATTGTTATTCAGGATAGTCTCAAACATTCAGGCTAGGGGTGTTACATACAACCCCTAGGGTGTCACATACACCTCCCTTTTACGCCTAGGTATCACATACACCTAGGCACGCATGACTTTAAAACTCGTCACTAAAGCCTAAGACCTATTTACTTATATATCCAGCATCTCTCCCGTATTTTCTCGATGTAGAATTCGCCTAGGATATCACATATATACCCTTTACGATTATGGTGTCACAAAATCATAGCCGAAAAATGCCTCATCTTTCTCAAATTGTTTAAGCAAAGACAATGTTGGATACGAATATAGTTTATCAGATTGTTATTCAGGCTAGTGTCAAACATTTTTCATGAAGATCTTATATTCGAAGCTTAAGAAAGTTATCTCCTTGAATACTTTGATGTTTATGCTTAATTAATCTTTTATTTTTCACAGCATATGCTGGTTATCCAAAACATATAAGTCCATTTGTCTCCATATCGAGAGTGCTACTCCTAGTAAGCCCATCACCTTTTATTATATGGTGAATGATCGAATCACACCTATATAGTAATATTTTTGTCCATATTGTCCTTTTCCTCCCTTAAATATAATAAAAATCGTTGGAAAAAACAAATGAAACTGCACCGAGTTTTTGGCCTAAAACATCCCTCAACAATACATCAAATTTAAACAAAATCCTTGTGCTACACAATAAACAGAAAAAATATCCCTAAAATATTTCTAAAGATGGCAAGAATCGTCCATTTGTTATTCTTTGTTAAGAAATTAACGACTTAAACCAAAAAATGTGCCACTCACATGACTTCCCCGCTAATTCTCATATTATGTCCTCTCCCTGACCATCTTCATCCTCTAGCGAAAAATATAGCTCCATTAACTAATTCAAAGTGGCACTCACATGATTATGAAAGTCACAAGGACTTAATCTCAAACGTTATGTAATTACATGCATAGTAAAGGAGTATAAATTTATTTTTATAAATCTTTTTAATCCAAAGACACATCTAGCATACAATGAACCTTTTCAAACTCACTGCTCGTTTTCTTCTTCTTGACTTCAAGTTGCTTCACAATCACTGCATCACCAAAAGATGTATAACCCAAAAGGAGGATGTATCGGTGAAGTGTATTAATGTGATCTCAGTACGTGGCATTAAGGAAGCAACTGAAGCTAAGTAGCCTTATATTTAGGAAGTAGTTATTTCTATTTAAGATAGTGGAGTTAGTTGTAGATATCCACTTAGTTTGTTTGTGTTTCTATTATCCCCACATTTATTCACTTCCTAAAGGTTAGGTAGAAGTTATTGAGACTTTGTTTTATTTAAACTATCAGTAATATCATTTGTAGGAAGACTTTTAAGCTCCATAAATTTTATTTTTAGACTTTGTAAGTTTTACTGATTTAATTTTATTAGTGGTATCAGAGCCAGTTGACTACCACGATTTGTTTCCTCATCTCAATTCTAGAAATTCCAAAATGCGTGACCTACCAACAACCATTCCAGTTCTTAAAGGAGACAACTATCCTTTTTGGTTTATCAAGATGAAGACAATGCTTGGATCCTACGACTTGTGGGAGGTAGTTCAGAATGGTTACGCCACTTATGAAGAGGCAGATAGACTAACAGAAACTCAACGTACATAGCTGAAGGAGAAGATAAAAAAAGATGAAAAGCCTTGTCAATGATTCAACAATGCGTAAATGACAGTATGTTCCCTCGAATCATGGGTGCAAAGACATCCAAGGAAGCATGGAACATGTTGCAAAAGGAGTTCCAAGGATCGAACCAAGCCATTGTTGTCAAAGTTCAACCCTTGAGATGAGATTTTGAAAATCTCACAATGAAGAACACAGAGAAGTTTGTTGATTTTCCAGTCATGCCCAGACCATTGTGAACCAACGTAGGGCATATAAGTTGTCGAAAATTTTTTAAGAGATTTACTGGCAAAATTTGACTTAGTTATGACAGCAATTGAAGAGTCAAAAGATCCAAGTGAATATTCAAATCATGACTTAATGGGATCACTTTTATCCCATGAGCATAGATTGAAAAAGTTTGAAGGCCAAAGCAGTATGGAACAAGCATTTCAAATGAGGTTGAATGTTAATGGACGAGAAAAAGGTGTTGCAAGCAACCGAGGAAAGGAAAGAGGATCTCGTGGTAGAGGAAGAGGACATGGACAATCCTATCATAAGCAAAGTGAACAGAAAATAGAGTATCTTGAATGCAATTTCTGCAAAAAGAAGAATCATGCAGAAGAAGACTGGTGGTTCAAAGAAGAGCGCCAATGTTACAAATGTCATAAGTATGGACATTTGACGAAAAATTGTAGAGAGAAGGGAGATGTAGCAAACTTCCAAGAAGAAACAAGTGAAATAAAAGAAGAAAATCTTTTTTACTTGCTTCACAGGAACTATAGAAGCAACACAGGATGTGTGGCATCTTGACAATGGATGCAACAACCACATAACTGGCAACAAGCAGTTGTTTCATGAGCTAGATGAAAGAAAGAAGACGGTGATTACGCTAGGATATAACATCACAATCATTCCCATTGGCATCGACATTATCAAAGTGGAGATTCCTAAAGGACGACAAAATCTACTAAGCTTGGGACAAATGATGCAATCTGGTTATAACATACTTTTTGAAGGAGGAGTTTGTCAAATTTTTAACAAATTTGGCAGCAGAATGTTTAGTTGCTCGATGACATCGAACAAGATATTTCCAATGAGTTTTATGACTTTAAGTTCCTATTTTTATATTTCTGCTACAAAAAAATCAACATTATAACATAAGAGATTTTTTCATTTAAACTATGATGAGTTGAAGCATATGAGTGATATCAAAGCTATTGAAGGATTGCCTAGTTTCACACCAAGAACCAGATTATGTGAAGCCTGCATTGCTGGAAAGCAACGTCGGGAGAAGTTTGAGAAAGGAAAATCACTTAGAGTAACAAGAGCTCTCGCTTTGGTTCACGCAGATTTATGTGGACCAATGTACATAGAGTCTCTTAATGGAAGCATGTATTTTCTTTTACTCATTGATGATTTCTCAATGATGCAATGGGTATATTTTCTTTACAAAAAGTAAAGCGTATGAGATGTTCAGAAAGTTCAAGCTAGAATTAGAAAATCAGATGGGGCTCCAAATACAGGCATTAAGGACAGATCAAGGAGAAGAGTTCCTTTCAATAGAGTTCGGAAATTCTTGCTTGGAGCATAGAATTAAAAGATAGTATGCTGTGAGATACACACTACAACAAAATGGTATGGTGAAACCTAAACATTAAACCTTTGTCGAAGCAGCCAGGAGTTTAGTCAACCAAGCAAAATTGCCAAAAGGGTTTTGGGCTAAAGCTGTAGCAACAACGGTGTACGATTTCAATAGAACGACATCAACAACAAATAGAGAAAAGACGCCATATGAACTCTGGTATGGAAAAGCTCCCAAAATTGATCATCTCAAAGTTTTTGGTTCTATTTCTTATGCTTGTGTTCCCACTGAGCTTCGAAGAAAATTTGATGATAAAAGTATTAAATGCATTTTTGTTGGATATGCAAAAATTGCAAAATCTTACAAGTTATATGATCCCATAAGCAAGAGAACTGTTATTAATAGACGTTAGAATATAAGGGTCCACCAAACTCTATATAGAACCAGATTCTCTATCAGATTTAACAGTACACGCACACACACAACAGTAAATAAATGAGAAGAGGAATTTTACGTGGAAAATTTCCAGCTCAACGGGATTAAAAACCACGACCTACTCTTGTAGGATTTCAACTTCACTACTGAGCAACTTTTAGATTGCAACCTATGCAACCTAGGAATTAACCTCTTAATCCTTATTAACTTGTAATACTCTATTACAAGCCACTTTGTAATAACTCTATTACAAAGACTTTACAACATGGATAACTTTAGCCA